ATTGTCGTGTCTGTGAGAGTGATATAATGAGAATAGATTGCGGTACTGAACAGGTCACGAGGCCATCCTATATTATTCATTAAGTTGTCGGTACCATGGATATTATAGCAATGCCCTGTGTTTTGCATTGGCTGTTCACCCGAGTCGACGTGTAGAAAATAATAGATAGAAAATAATACATTTTTTCTTTTGAATCGATGAATTATAAAAGGCCAATTTTTTAGTCAGTCTTCTTTGATTGAGGGTAATATTTCAAGTCAAATTTTATCCAAAAAAATTAGCTCGAAAGTTGAGTAAGGATATAAAATATCTCTCATATTTTCAGTTTTTAAGTTATTAATTTGTAGATTATTTTAACAACTCAATTACTAAATTTTTGGACTACTTTTACAATTAGGTTATTAAAATATAATATAAGAACATGTAAACCAACACAATAAACCAATAACGCTAAAGGAAATACAATAAATCCCATAATATGAGCTTAAAAAAAGACATCATTTTATACCAACTATATTAGTTTTTAAAAAATTTAAATATATGTGTTGGTCGGGTAGAAATACACAAATTTTATGGATATTCCATATTCCTACCCACGGTTTGGCGGAATATTAAAATTTCTTCTATCAACCGGCCGAAATTTTGCAGAATTCCAATAAGCTGGTAGAGTTATGTAGAAAGGATAAGGAACGGAATTTTGAACCACCCTAGTTCTACACCAGTTTCCCTCTTTTTGACTGCATTGTTAATTGGGTATATATTATAATTAGCGATTAGACATTACCATCCTATTTTAAAATGGTATTTGAACTTTCAATTAGTTTAATCTAATTTTTCATTTATCAATTTAATATTTGTAAATTTTTTCCTTCTATTTTACCCATTAGAACAAACGGAGGCAAGCCCATTTGTTTATCATATGGTCGTTCACGTCATGTGTCTTCGTCTGTTCAAATGAGTGAAATGGATGGAATGAGTTTATTGACATAAAATTAATAATTAATTGATATAATTAAAAGTGCAAAGTCTATTTTAAAAGAAGAAATAAAATTTAAGAACTAATTGTAATATTTACCTTTTTTATTAGCAAAGATTGAATACATAAGTCTAGCACTTAAAAGACAGTAAAATGTTGGATCTAGGGAATGCAGATATGGACAACCGTCTGTCTAAGGTCAGGAACTCCCCCCCCCC